ATAGATAGATAGATAGATAGATAGATAGATAGATAGATAGATAGATAGATAGATATTATTTTTCATATAAGTGTATGGTAATAACTCTGTTGCTGTTACTAAAAAATGAGGCTGTAAATTGGAATGATTAGTTGTCTTTTCCATGTTATAATTTCGTGACTAATGCCGTGCTATTTTTGTTATGTGGACGCAAAGAGAATATGGGGTGGGGGAGCGGAATGGTAGTCATCAAAGGTGAAATGAAATCAACATTTGTTGTCGACTTGTCAAGTTATTATCATTTTGATTGCTTTCGTTGTTATTTTGCATGTATACGTGTCAGCAAAAAAAATGTGAGTTGCAAACTTCACTGTAAATTTGTATACATACGTGTATTATACTTATTCGTCATTTACTGTTATTATTCGGAGACAAGCAAGACGAAAAGGCAAAATGAAGAATAGGAAAACACTAAAGAACCAGTCTTCATTTTTTTTTCTTGGTTTTGTATTTGGTTGGAGAAGACACGTGAGAAAAGAACACAAAAGAATATGAAAATATTTGTATTGAAAAAGACGAAGAAACAAACAAAGAACCAGTCTCGTTTTTTGTTTTCGTTGGAGAAAACAAGTGAGAAGAGAAGAGAAAATAATTTTTAAAAATATTTGTATTAACCCTTTCACTGCCAGGCCCGAGAATGTCTTGTGCTCTTTGATTTGATTGGGGGGTAGGCCTGGCAGTGAATTGGTTAATAAGACGGAGAAAGAAACCAAGAACCTGCAGAAAGTGTGGTAGTTGTAAGGGAACCTACCAGATCTATCAGAGGCGGCGTCGCTCGGTGTGAGCGTCCTGTGAGCCGTGGTGGTGTGGTGCCCTGAGCCGTGAGGAGGGGACGACAGGGCCGCCTCTGACCCCGACGGGATGGGGTTCGAATCGCTGAGGTGATGGTGGTGGTGATGCATTGTCATACCTCCTCCTCCCCCGTGGTGGTGGGTGGTCGAGTGGTGGTTGTGGTGGCCGCTCACGACTAACTCCTCCAAACACAAGGGTTCATTCATAGAGTTCATCTATAGCTGCTCAGATAGGTCCACGGTCCGCGGCCGAGAGAGGACGAGAAGAATAGGATCCAAAATATTCTCACAGCTCACTGGCTCTCCGTGTTCTAGCGTGCATTTAGTATACACGAACACCGCAAACTGTTTTTGTTGAAGTTTCGGGAAATCTTCGACTATTTTTGAGTCATCAAATCCGTAGAGGACTCAACAAAACCGTCAATTTCCCAAAGTCTGTCAAGTAATCAGAGTCTCTTTACCGTTCGTGAGCATTCGGTCTCAGACTAAAGGGAAAAATTGAGAAAATACGTTTTTATTATTCTAATTAATCTAATTTATTCAGCAGCAAGGAAGAAAATACTCAGAAACAATGTTTAGATTCTAATCGCCAATTTTCAGCTGAACTAAACCTGCCTAAATATTTCAAAATACAAACTAATACAAGAGACATCAGCAAACAATATACCTGTATTTTTATATTTATTTAAAACTGTTTATCTCGTTGAATAAGAAAAGGCACGAACATATTATGAAGTTAGCCGAAAATAGAAAATTCCTGGAAGCAATGTTAAATCATAACCTAATTAAAATTATCCGTTGCTTAAATACGATCAAAACATTATTTTGTTGATATTTTTGTGTAAATATAGAAATTAATGAATATCAATCAAAGAATAAATAAAAGAAACAATATACATAAACCAATAAGTAGATGTAAAAAATAGCGGATTAATAAATAAATAAAAAAAAATAATAATAAATAAATAGACAGAGAAATAAATAAACAAATAAATAGATAAATAAATAAACAGCCTCTCAAATCAAGAATAAAATATACAATAATTTTAATATTATAAGAAGGAAAAAATGAAAAGTTGGAAAGCCCGCGGAGCACGCTATGAACCCTAACAGAGTTAATGAAATTCGTACTCTCGTTGCAGGTTTGAAAACTCCTCTGCTTAGACAAAAGTTTGACTCTTTTAAACGCAGGTTCCTCTTCCCTGCCTCTTTGCACGCCAATTGACTCCACGGAGATTTCAACTCGT